ACTCTGCCCCCCACCTCCCTCCCTCGCAGATGTCACACAGCCCCCCCTGCCAGGATGTTCTCAAATTCATCGGTCAGTGGTGTGGTGGGCTGCCCGGCTCCAGCTTCTCCTTCCAGTGACCCAGACGTCACACTCCGGACTCTCGGCTGCCCCTTTTTTGCACAGTCTCCTTTATCAATAAAGATACTGCTGCCTGTATGCCTGGCCTTCCTGGGCTCTTTCTGCACATGAGGGTCGTTGAGGGCCATCTGGATTTCCTATCTTCTGGGGCTGTGACCAAAGAGAAGGCACGAGGAGACAAAGGAGGCTGCGTAGAGCCCCCCCCCAGTGAGGCCCCCGCCGGCGGAGAGCGAGGCTCCTTTGCTGTCCGACTGCCTTCCGTCTTGTCCAGGAAGCAAGGCAGGGAGGGAGACGCGCCTACCTCTTCGGTGCTGGAGACCCCATCTGTGGGGGGTGGCGGCAGCAGCAGAGGCGATTGGATGGTGGGCCTCCTGATTGCCCTGATCCCCCGGCCCACGGTGGGGTGGGGGGCTCTGACCCTCCGTTTCTGGCACTACCTCAGAATCGGTCTTGGGAAGTGGCTCTGCCAGCATTCCAGTGGGAGGGGGCAAAAGCTTGGCAAGGGGGAGGCAGCTCTCGCCGCCTCCTCTCTGAGAAGCTCCTTCCTGATGGTCACAGGAGANGGGGGGGGGGGGGGGGGGGGGCGGGGGAGGGATTGGCTGTTGTGTCCTGCGGGAGCCACAAGGGACGGCAGCATAGAGAGAGCTAGTGGCAGTGGGGGCGGATGATGGGCAGAGGAAATGGCTCTGTTGTTTCNGCTCTGTTGTTTCCCATCAGTATTGTTTATTTCTGTCCAGTATTTATATGGGCCCCTGTCCTTCCCCCAACAAGCTGACCGGGGGGGGGGCGGTCTTGGCCTCTCCCCATGAGGGCCACCTCTTTCCTAGAGGGCCAGCCCTTTCTGCCCACTCCTCCCAAGTGCCCGCTGCCTTAGGGCTGTGGAGGGTCATGAGAGGGGCTGAGGAGGCAAGTTGGCGCCCATGCACAGATGCACACACGCACCCTTGGGGGAGCCGGAAGCTGTCACGGGTGTCCGGCCAGCTGTCTCTCATGCCGTGGCCTTGGGGGTTTCCCTCTCCCCCTCCCCCCCATTACTGGAAGCCACCCTCCTCTGCTGAAGCTGGAAAACCTGGGGGACGGCCTCGGGGGGGGCTGGTCTCTGAGTCCTTCCTCGCCTTCCCCCGTGGGTGAAAGGAGGGGGCATGAAGTGGGGAGCTTGTCGCCCTTCTCCCTGTTCCAGGAAGTGGCTTCCAGGCGCAGGTGCACACACCAAGCGCCACAAGCAGTCTCTCGCACGCCGCTCTCTGCCGCGGCCTACGGCTGCATGTCTGCGCCTGGGGTGCAGCTGCCCCATTCTCAGGACGAAGGCCTGAGGTGGGGGGTGAACTTGGGCCTGGCCCTCGGCCTCCTCCTGCTCCGCCTCCGTCCTCCCCAGACATTCACCAAAAACCAAGGCTGCAGCAATAGCCCCAGAGCCTGGAGAGCGGGTTGGGAGGTGGCGATGGAGCAGGCGGCGGGGTGCCAGCCGTTNTCTCTGCTCTGCTGTTCCTTCAAGATTCACAGACGCTCAGGGGGGAAAAAACTGTTGCTTGATTTTAATCTAGGAAGGGAGAAGTAGCCAAAAAATGGGTTCTATCAGATTGTTTAGGGAAGTTTTCAGTATTAGCTGCTACCCCTTTTCTGTATGTCACTGGGGGCCATGCCTGTTGCTGTTGTCATGGGCCATCAAGTCACCTCCTCTGCTGTTCCTTCAAGATTCACAGACGCTCAGGGGGGAAAAAACTGTTGCTTGATTTTAATCTAGGAAGGGAGAAGTAGCCAAAAAATGGGTTCTATCAGATTGTTTAGGGAAGTTTTCAGTATTAGCTGCTACCCCTTTTCTGTATGTCACTGGGGGCCATGCCTGTTGCTGTTGTCATGGGCCATCAAGTCACCTCTGATTTAGGGCACCCCTATGGATGAGCAACACCCACAATGTACAGTTCTCAACAGACAGGATTCCCTAGTAAAGACAAGAAACACGAGATTACTGGAAGCCACCCTCCTCTGCTGAAGCTGGAAAACCTGGGGGACGGCCTCGGGGGGGGCTGGTCTCTGAGTCCTTCCTCGCCTTCCCCCGTGGGTGAAAGGAGGGGGCATGAAGTGGGGAGCTTGTCGCCCTTCTTGTGGGGGTGAACTTGGGCCTGGCCCTCGGCCTCCTCCTGCTCCGCCTCCGTCCTCCCCAGACATTCACCAAAAACCAAGGCCGCAGCAATAGCCCCAGAGCCTGGAGAGCGGGTTGGGAGGTGGCGATGGAGCAGGCGGCGGGGTGCCAGCCGTTCCCGAGCGACTCCCCCAAAACGCGCCCCCCCGACCTGCTGGGTGGCCTGAGAGGTAGGGAGGGCTGCCAGGTGTGCAGGAGTGCCCCCCCCCCGAAATGAGGAGCTATCAGATTGTTTAGGGAAGTTTTCAGTATTAGCTGCTACCCCTTTTCTGTATGTCACTGGGGGCCATGCCTGTTGCTGTTGTCATGGGCCATCAAGTCACCTCTGATTTAGGGCACCCCTATGGATGAGCAACACCCACAATGTACAGTTCTCAACAGACAGGATTCCCTAGTAAAGACAAGAAACACGAGAAAGGCAGAAGGCAGCAGGAAACGAGGAAGACCCAACAGGAGGTGGACTGACTCCCAAAAGGAACCCACAGGCTTGACTTTGCAAGAGCTGAGCAGGACTGTTGAGAACAGGCCATTTTGGAGATCGCTGATCCAGAGGGTCACGATAAAAGCACAGGCCACTTGACAGCACCTAACGATAGTCCTTGGTATTCCTCTTGCTGTCTGCAACTTCTTGCAGCATTTTTTTCTAGCAAATCTTGCCCTCACATGAGGTGCTCAAACTATGGCAGCCTCAGTTTCATAATTGTTTGCCTCCAGAGAAAGTTCAAGCTAGATTTGCTCTAGGGCCCACTTGTTAATCTTTCTAGCAGTCTAGAGTAGCCACAAAGCTCTCCTTTGGCAGCACATTTCCAACGAATTATTTTCCTTGTCAGCTTTCTTCACTGTCCAGCTTTCACACCCATACATGATGATCGGAAATACTAGACTGGATGATCTTGGGTCTCCAGTGACACATCCTTACACTTCCTTATATTTTCCAATTCTTTCTTTCTCTTCCGAGTCTTGTCTTCCTCTGATTTCTTGGCTGCGGTCGCCATTCGAATTGGTGATTGAACCAAGGTGTATACAGTCTCTCTTTCCATTATCTTCACTGTGAACCTTCCGAGTTCTGTAGTCCTTCTGTAGCCATGATTTTTGTCTTCTTGATGTTCAGTGGCAGTCCTGCTTCGGTACTTTCTCCTTTCACTAAAGGTCATTTCAGGTCACTGCTGCTTTCTGCCTGTAAGATGGTGTCATCTGCATAGTTTAAGTTATTGATGTTTCTTCTACCAAGTTTCACTCAGCCTTCCTCTGAACCTAGTTTCTCTCTGTGTTTTGTCCTAATGGTAGTAAAAGTAATGCATCAGGACCATGAAGTGCTGAGGGACACCCATGTCTTCCAGAACACCCCATAGAGTTTCTCACAACCACCACCCCCCCCAGTCAAAGGTTAGGGTTAGGGATACAAAGGAAACCAGCCTGGCAAAGGTATGAGGCTTGGAGGGGTCATTCTTGGTGAAGGGCCCTGGCCTCTGGATACGTGGCTCAGGAACAGACGGGAGGAGAAGGCTTAGCCTCGCGTCCTCTGGCATTTCAGCTCCGTCCTCCTCCCTGGGCAGGAGACAAAACAGGTGGCTGGCTGGAGCGGCTCCTTGGCGGGAGTGGCGGGCCCTCCTTGGCAGAGGCTTCCCCTCATTGCCCCGGCCGGGCACTCGCTTTCCACGAAGCCCACCCAGGGCAAGAAAGGCTAATGGGCTAGGCTGGTGTCTGGTCATCTGGAAGGCAGCTTCCCGTACCCTCTGCTGAACCGAGGCCGGGCCTCCTCGCAGGGAAGGGCGGGGGCGGCCGCCTTTGGAGCAGCCAGCACCTGCAAAAAGCCCTGGTTTGGGACCTTTGTGCCAAATGCCTCTTGACTGTAGGGTATCAGGCAGCGGGAAACCCCCTTGGACCAAAGACATTGCCTGAAAGTGGGGTGGGATGAAGGCCCAGGCCGGCCCGGCTTGGAGGCAGCGCTACTTGGCCCAGTAGGGAGGCAGGGTCTGTGAGTGGGAGGCAGCTTCCATACTCCCCCCCCCCATACACTTTGCTGCTGCCTCTGGTTACCTTCCGCCCGCCTGGGCACGATGGGCGGCAGTGGCTTCTGCACCAACCAAAGCAGTGGGAGGGAGAGACGGTGCCGAGATAAGGGGCCTGAAGGGAAGAGGAGGGGCTCTGGAACACTCCCCCTGCTCTCTCCCCCAAAGGGGGGGCCAGCCTCAAAAGCCCTCCACCCACCGGCCCACCAGTGCAGGG